CGTTCTCGTTTTTTTCATTTGGTATTCCACTAACAATGATGTCTGCTGAGATATTGTTTTTCATCATAACGGCGAANCAACTTTCACAAGCCTCACCGTAAAGTCTCTCATACTCCGCTTTATATTAGACAGGTCAGCTGTGATCTCGCTTATTCTGCTCAGTATTTGCTCTTCTGACACCTTTAGTCGCTCAGTTATCTGCTCCATTGCATTCTCTATTTTTGCTTCAAGCCGTGTAATCCATGAAGGTGGAGGGCAATTCTCGTCTTTACCCGCTTTAAGTTGGGGCGTGGGTGGTTTTGGTGGCGAAATGCCGACCAGGCGCGCAGATTTAGTGCGAGTCACCATGCTTGTACAGATGCAGTAAAAAATAGCGAAAATGCACCGTCACTTCCAAAAAGGAAATATATTTTTCTAGCCTCGTGGTATGTGCCCATCGATTCTTTTATCGTATCTCAGTGTGGGCGTTTTCATAGTGGCCATGTCAATTCGTGTCTATACCGATATGATGGTTCGTGTCTTGAATAACTATTGGTTATGTACATTCATCTGGCAATCCCCCCCATTTTGAAGTTTAGCTTTGACAGTTTTGTTATGTTTACATTTCTTATAATCGTTCTTATGTCTATTATTTGGGCAATAAAAAATAATAGAGAATTAGCCCCCTTTCATCTTCAGCGACACGTTAACAAAAAAAAATGTGGAGCGTTTAGTAGGGATATGAGAATGGTGGTTCGAATGCAATTCACGGGCTGTGGTTTTATCGACGTTAGACCTTACATCGAAATCGTCATCACAACCCACCAAATACAAAATAAACACCGTCAAAAACCTAATACATAAAATACTTACTTTAAGCCACCAACGATTTCATGACGCAAACATAGACAAAATAAGAAAAATAACATGTAAAGGCAAAGAAAACGAAGCCTGTAACAAATTATATATAGGAACAACAAAACGCGCTCTCGGCGTTCGACTAGCAGAACACCAGGCAGACATAAAAAAACACAAAACCAATACAGCTCTATCACAACACATAACTACTAGTGGGCACACAGCTGACTTTGCAAACACAATAATAATAGACAAGGAAAAAAGGGAAAAGACAAGGTATACACTGGAGAGCCTAAGAATAATGCAAAAAAGAGAAAAAACAATAAACAAGAAAGAAGACACCGATGACATTGCTGCTGCATACATTTTATGTTTATGACGAATTTTAGCAATTACCAGTATTGACAAGACTACCACAATAGATGGTACCGAAGTAAAATTAAGTTTAATTAAATATGTTATAATAGAAATTTCTGTAAGTAGTAAAATAGTATAATTCATTTGCCATTTTTATGTTCATATTCACGTCATACATGTATGTTCCTTATGTAATTTTTGTCAAACGTTAATGCATATTTGTAATTTTTGTACTTATTAGGTGCGTTCGACAAGTCAAAAATTTGTAATAGTTTTTCCAAATTTTTACTGGATGGCGTTCGATAACGACAAAAAATTATCCAACACACAAGAATTGAGAGAGCAAGCGTTCATTTTGATGCAAGAGAAGCGTTCATTTTGTACTGGCAAAATTTTTGTCACCAAAAATTATCCAACACGAAAACATATGATCACAAAACATATGATTGCAATTAACCAAACAAAAAGAAATTTATTTTTTGTGAAATCTGGTCTTAACAAATTTGAAATTTAGTGTCAGAAACGTTGAAATGGAAAACAAACAGCAAAAACCAGCAAAAAACGTGATTATATAAAGTATATTAATGATAATTATATACAAGATACTATTTTGCAGGTTGTACTTGAACGGGAGCCTAACTTCCAAGAGGCCTACGAATTGCAGCCTCAATTTCCACATTTGGAAGGTTTATTGTGTTTAAGATTTAGTATGCATATATATTTTATTAACAACACTTTTGTTCGTAGGAACTTGCATTGGCGTAGGTGTCCAGAGTATTGTTTTAAATGCAGTCGCGACATTACTGGATTCCTCTTCCTCAGAAAGTGACGATGAAGAAGATACAATCATATGTGAGCGATTGCGACGTCGTGATAATATATATTTAAAAAATGCTGTACTATTGCTTGCTAAAAACAATCGCAATTGTGTTAAGCACTATTTTGAACGAATTGTTCCATCATATTATGAAAGTGAATTTCGCAGTCACTTTAGAACTTCTAGGAGCCTTTTCGCAAGCTTAAGTGATCGTTTATTCCAAAGTGAATATTATCAAATGCTACGTCCAGACAAACGAAACTCGGAAAAATTGTATTTGCTGGTATTTTTGTGGTTCGCTGGCCATGANACATTACGCTTAAAACCCTGTAAAATGCGAATATTACCAAACATGTAAGAAACTACAGTTAAAACCAGATTTAAGAGAAAGTTTAAGTAGCGGAAAAAGAGAACATGAGAGGAAGAGGGGAAAGAATAGAAGAGGATACAATTTCTTTTTAATAATCTAAACAATGAGATAAAAATAAAATACTTAAAACTAAATAGTCACTTGTTGCTTGCTAATAAAGATTCAATTGCCTCTTTGGTAAGTACCTTGACAGCTGCACTACCCGGTTGCCCACGAACATATACATCGCCCCTGAGAGAAAACGCAGCTGATAAACGCCTTTGCTTTTTCAGCAGTATCGCATACTGCATAATTTCTCGATTACCTTTCGTAAGGCATTCGTTTATATAAACATTCCCATGAGTTACGCCTCCAATATCTCGTAGCTGAAAACATCTCTTTTTAGTTTTGTAAAATTTGGCAGCAGCTTTCAGTAGCAGAGACCGATCAAATGGGGAGTGCAATTTGATAATAAGAGGCGCAGGTTTAGTGTTGTCTTTCCCGCTGCGCACACGAAAAGCTGCGCGAACAGGGGGAGCATTTACTTCCATCGCTTTGCAAAGCTTTCCAAATATGTCGCTCACGTTCTCGTTTTTTTCATTTGGTATTCCACTAACAATGATGTCTGCTGAAATATTGTTTTTCATCATAACGGCGAGATTAGCTTTGAGCTCACACATCTCTTTACGTAGCTGCTCAAGCTGCGCACATTCATTCTCAACTTTCACAAGCCTCACCGTAAAGTCTCTCATACTCCGCTTTATATTAGACAGGTCAGCTGTGATCTCGCTTATTCTGCTCAGTATTTGCTCTTCTGACACCTTTAGTCGCTCAGTTATCTGCTCCATTGCATTCTCTATTTTTGCTTCAAGCCGTGTAATCCATGAAGGTGGAGGGCAATTCTCGTCTTTACCCGCTTTAAGTTGGGGCGTGGGTGGTTTTGGTGGCGAAATGCCGACCAGGCGCGCAGATTTAGTGCGAGTCACCATGCTTGTACAGATGCAGTAAAAAATAGCGAAAATGCACCGTCACTTCCAAAAAGGAAATATATTTTTCTAGCCTCGTGGTATGTGCCCATCGATTCTTTTATCGTATCTCAGTGTGGGCGTTTTCATAGTGGCCATGTCAATTCGTGTCTATACCGATATGATGGTTCGTGTCTTGAATAACTATTGGTTATGTACATTCATCTGGCAATCCCCCCCATTTTGAAGTTTAGCTTTGACAGTTTTGTTATGTTTACATTTCTTATAATCGTTCTTATGTCTATTATTTGGGCAATAAAAAATAATAGAGAATTAGCCCCCTTTCATCTTCAGCGACACGTTAACAAAAAAAAATGTGGAGCGTTTAGTAGGGATATGAGAATGGTGGTTCGAATGCAATTCACGGGCTGTGGTTTTATCGACGTTAGACCTTACATCGAAATCGTCATCACAACCCACCAAATACAAAATAAACACCGTCAAAAACCTAATACATAAAATACTTACTTTAAGCCACCAACGATTTCATGACGCAAACATAGACAAAATAAGAAAAATAACATGTAAAGGCAAAGAAAACGAAGCCTGTAACAAATTATATATAGGAACAACAAAACGCGCTCTCGGCGTTCGACTAGCAGAACACCAGGCAGACATAAAAAAACACAAAACCAATACAGCTCTATCACAACACATAACTACTAGTGGGCACACAGCTGACTTTGCAAACACAATAATAATAGACAAGGAAAAAAGGGAAAAGACAAGGTATACACTGGAGAGCCTAAGAATAATGCAAAAAAGAGAAAAAACAATAAACAAGAAAGAAGACACCGATGACATTGCTGCTGCATACATTTTATGTTTATGACGAATTTTAGCAATTACCAGTATTGACAAGACTACCACAATAGATGGTACCGAAGTAAAATTAAGTTTAATTAAATATGTTATAATAGAAATTTCTGTAAGTAGTAAAATAGTATAATTCATTTGCCATTTTTATGTTCATATTCACGTCATACATGTATGTTCCTTATGTAATTTTTGTCAAACGTTAATGCATATTTGTAATTTTTGTACTTATTAGGTGCGTTCGACAAGTCAAAAATTTGTAATAGTTTTTCCAAATTTTTACTGGATGGCGTTCGATAACGACAAAAAATTATCCAACACACAAGAATTGAGAGAGCAAGCGTTCATTTTGATGCAAGAGAAGCGTTCATTTTGTACTGGCAAAATTTTTGTCACCAAAAATTATCCAACACGAAAACATATGATCACAAAACATATGATTGCAATTAACCAAACAAAAAGAAATTTATTTTTTGTGAAATCTGGTCTTAACAAATTTGAAATTTAGTGTCAGAAACGTTGAAATGGAAAACAAACAGCAAAAACCAGCAAAAAACGTGATTATATAAAGTATATTAATGATAATTATATACAAGATACTATTTTGCAGGTTGTACTTGAACGGGAGCCTAACTTCCAAGAGGCCTACGAATTGCAGCCTCAATTTCCACATTTGGAAGGTTTATTGTGTTTAAGATTTAGTATGCATATATATTTTATTAACAACACTTTTGTTCGTAGGAACTTGCATTGGCGTAGGTGTCCAGAGTATTGTTTTAAATGCAGTCGCGACATTACTGGATTCCTCTTCCTCAGAAAGTGACGATGAAGAAGATACAATCATATGTGAGCGATTGCGACGTCGTGATAATATATATTTAAAAAATGCTGTACTATTGCTTGCTAAAAACAATCGCAATTGTGTTAAGCACTATTTTGAACGAATTGTTCCATCATATTATGAAAGTGAATTTCGCAGTCACTTTAGAACTTCTAGGAGCCTTTTCGCAAGCTTAAGTGATCGTTTATTCCAAAGTGAATATTATCAAATGCTACGTCCAGACAAACGAAACTCGGAAAAATTGTATTTGCTGGTATTTTTGTGGTTCGCTGGCCATGAATCATGCAGTTATCGAGATCTAGCCGATCGTTTCGACTTGTCTTTGTCAACAATATGCCTAATTATAAATAGAGTCTCGATGTTTCTCAGCTCGACGAGCCCACAAATTATAAAATGGCCCACTGCTTCTGAAAAACAAGAATCAAGCGAATCCTTTCAGAATAAATGCCTCTTCAGCAAAGTAATAGATATATGTAACTAAGCATTTAAAACGGATTGATTACATATTTTATTTATTGTGTTAAGGATGCATCGACGGAACACATGTTGAGATCGATCCACCACCTAGAGGAAAAGATGACTATATCGATCGAAAAGGAAGAAGATCAATATGCTTACAAGGTATATGCAACGAAAAGAAAAAGTTCTTAAATGTATTTGTCGGATACCCAGGCTCTTGCCATGATAGTTGGGTGCTTAAAAACTCTCCAATATATCAAAAATTACCATCATACTGCGAAGGTAATATACTTGACTGTTCTAATGGTAATACATTTTGTAGTTAACAAGCTGATTTTTTAGAGTACTATTTATTAGGCGACTCCGCATACCCATGTAACAGGTACTTAATAACTCCGTACAGAAACAATGGACATCTAACTAGACATCAAATGTTCTTTAACAAAAAGCTGAGTTCAGGTCGTGTGGTTATTGAGCATACATGCGGATTATTGAAGCAGAGATTTAGGCAGTTGTAAAATTTGCCACTTTATTAGAGTTTGTGTGCTCTCCACAATATTTCGAATGAAGAGGAAATTGATTTTAGTTCTGAGGTCATACCTGAAACTAATGAAGATTACTATTATGAACGTGGAGAAGTTTCGAGCGGAAACACTGTAAGAAATTCACTTTGTGAAGATGTAATAAGACGGTCTAATTTTACTAACAATTAACTAAAATTATAATTCAATTTATTAATTTTTTTCCTTATACATACACCATATTGGCCAGTTTAGTGTTTATTGTTTTTAAATGTGCATTGTTTATATAAAAAAATATATAAATCGAAATTTCAATCTTTGTACAATTTTCAGCAAGGTGTTAAGTTTTTTTTAGAATTTTGGGCAAAATTGTACGGTATGCAGTAGGGCGGGTCGATTTAAAAATCGCTCATTGCTCTGTGAAAATCGTATTCTAGGGATCAAAATAAGAAACTTTGCCGAAGGAACCATACCTCTAAAACGAATTCTGATGTCCCCCAATTTGGGTCGAACTTTTGGGTAGGGGCAAATTTTGAAAAATCCCACTTTGACCCATTTAGAGTGCTCCAATCGAGTCCAAATGTATGACCGACCCCCACTAACTTTGGA